ACACACGCGCGCGCGCACACACACACACACACACACGCACACGCTCACACACACACACGCGCACACACAAACACACATACACGTGCCCTCACTTACGGACAAGTAATCACATAACCAGAACCACCACACAGGAGACTTCGCCCCTTATATTGAACAATCAGAAACGTTTGCGTCACTGCTCAAGTGACCGAGATTTTCCCACACTTTGCTGACCCTGAGAGCAACGTGCTGGTCACCGCCATTACATAGCTTATAGCAGAAGAGGTCAGCAAAATCCGGATAACCTATCCGTATGATCTATCCGAATAACCGGATAATTATCTGTGAATCATTGTCCGAATTCAGACTCTTAACTGCCTTTCCTGACGCGCTTGCTGAAGTGGGTGCACCCATTTGTTGAAGTGATCATGCTAACCCGTTTGTCGAAGTGGTTCTGACCCATTTGCCGAAACGGTTCATATCATGATATTATTTGCCGAAGAGGTGCTCTAACATATTATCCGGATTTTGCTAAAGCGACTCACTGCCCAGCTCTAGCCTGCAGGCAGGCAGACTGTGCGGTGACGTCACACGACTCTCGTGACCGGCCAGTCCAGTGGTGCTAGAGTGCTAGTTGCCATGAACTCTTCAAGGAGGCAGCAGGCACACAATTAGGCCTATTTATTATACTTTTATGTTATGCGATCGACAACAGACCAAACAGCAAAGTTACGGTACATTCCAAACCACCTTCACAATCGTATACAAATCAGAAACATTATTTTTTTTATTTTTTTTATTTTTTAAAAATACTGAATGCATGTTATTTCCTGCCGTTTTAAGTTTCATCTTCTTCTTCTTCTTCTTCCTTGTTCACAAACTGTGCAGTCCGCTTCAAATCTGAGAGACTTTCATAGAGTATAGAGCTTTCTCTCAAGAGGAGTCACATTCTGCCACGTCTGTGTACGAAGGGTGGCGTAACACGGGCAATGCTGAAGGATATGGTTGGCATCCTCTTGTTCGTGTCCACATTCGCACACCGCTATTGTCGGAATAACATCAATGGGGGCTCTCGTGGCCTCGAGGTTAAGGTGTTCGCCTCTCATTCAAAGGTCCCGGGTTCGAATCCGGGTAGCGACCGAAAAATTTCTTCTCTAAAATTGTCTCCCTTCACCTCCTTTCCTGCTCTTTAGCAATGTTCTGTCGTCTGCTTTCGTCTCCCTTTTCTGCTCCCACCCCTTCACCTCCTTTCCTGCTCTTTAGCAATGTTCTGTCGTCTGCTTTCGTCTCCCTTTTCTGCTCCCACCCCTTCACCTCATACCCCCTCCTCTGGGCTCCGGACTCTTTCTGCAGCCTTTCTACTGCTACTCCTTGGCTCCTTTTTATTGCTGTCTTTCAGCTACAACCCTGATCTTCTGGTAGGAAAGGTCTACACCTAGCCTTCTCGGACAAGGGCGAAAAATCTCGGAGGGCCCGTGTGCAAGTTGTGCACGTTAAAGATCCCTTGGTGGTCTAAAATCAATCAGCGTAGGCTTCGGCCGCCACCTTGGCAAAATTCAAAATTTCCTACCTACTGAAAAAAAAAAGTTTAACTTGTCCCGCGCGCTCATATGACCTTAGGCAGTTGCGAGCGCCGTAAAACACTTACCAAAAAATATATATATATAAAATAAAGTGTAGAGAGCTGACTCATGACTGCATGCTGAAGGGTTTACGTAATTGTCCTATAGGCTTGGGCGAGGTCTCTTGAGCTTACGACTTACGACATCTAGGCCTACCACTACCACTACCGGCACGACGACTAGAGGCGTCTTTGTTTGAGAGAGAGAGGGGGGGGTCGGTTGGGGGTGATTGCTTGGTGCTGATACTGGGAGAGTGTTGGGAGAGTGGAAGGGAGTGTGGTGGAGAGTGGTAGAGAGTAGTAGAGAGTGTGGGAGAGTGGAAGGGAGTGTGGGAGAGAGAAGGAGAGGTTGAGGGTTCTGTCGCCCTGTACTGCTGGGATAACGACTATCGTGATAGGTGTGACAGATGGAGGAAGGAAGACGTGAGGGAAGAC